AATTTCCATAGATGAATGCGAAGATATTTTGAAGTGTACAATGAAAAAAGAGGTAAAAGGAAATGAAAGAACTACAAAAATTGAAAAGAGAGAATCAGATAGTGTGAATGCACTTGTAACAGTTCGGTTGCTGTGTGCCGATGCATGTGTGTTTATGAAGATGGTGTGTTCAGGAGGGAAAGAGAGATGTACAATGTTGTCAAAGACTGGAGGCTTGTAATCCATTGAGGAACATTTGATGCATTAAAATTATTATTGCTCAGATCCCTGCAAATTGCCGTTGGTCAGAAAGAGACCGACTAACAAATTCACGACTACTGAAGAAAGCAGAAAACCATTAACTCATCTAATTTATGGGTAAGAATATATTGGAAAAGCATCTCATCATACAGAAATGTCGGTGGCACATTTGCAAAACCATATTTCTTATGCATTCATGATTCACCAATTAAGGTGCATGGTGTGCCATAATCAATTTAGAGATTGGAAGAATTAATACAACTTACACATAGTGTAGGAAATTCATGCCTGTGAGGTTGGGCATATTTCCTGTAAACTTATTATTAGACAAGTACCTGGAAAGAATAACAACAAACTAATTATAATTTCTAATATAGCAGTTTCATCAGTGTTCTTCAAGATAGTTATACTTGTATCTGCTAAATCAGAACTTCCGTTTATATCCGCTTACAACTCATTCATATTTGTAAGATTACTGAGGTCTGGAGGGACGGATCCATCAAGCAAATTCGAGTCGAAACGGCTGTTCCAAAAACAAGATATTCATCATTAATTATAGGAAAATTCATGATAGCCAAGTAAATATGAAAATTATGAATAACAGAGATACTCACACGATCTCCAATGTCTTTACAGATCCTAGAGTGGAAGGTAAATTCCCAGTGAGCTGGTTGTGGTCAAATATCCTGAACCAACAGAATGATTATATAGACCAAAAGGGAAAATAATTGAACACAAGAATCTCAGTATAAAATTTGGGATTTACGAGTAATTTTTTATTATATGTAATGTTAAAATCTCCATTATACCCCATAACAATGCTCTCAAGAAAAATGTATCTTGCTCTTTTTCTAAGAAGAAAGAAGATTGAAAATGCTGGATATGCATTCTGAAATATTACAATAGTAGGGACTTCCATTTTGGCAATTGGCATGCAAATAAAATAAAGCATTTGAATTGTTTGTGATGAAAGTAGTAATGTAAACATGCTTCAAAATGTGTTTGGAAACCATGTAATGAATTATAGTCTAGTATACCCACATAAAAAATTAACTTTCTCAAACAATTTGATCGAGGTGATTGAACATACAATTTAAACCTTTTTTTCTGCATGATAATTGATCTTTCATCATAGTAGTCAGTAATCGTTATTTTTCCTTTAATAAATGATTAAATGCATGCACATATATGTAACAGTACATTTTATGTTCATGTATCTGGCATATATTTTAAATTTGTGAAAAACAAAATGGGAAAAGAATTTGCAAAGAAATTGAGTAAATGGTAATTCTCGTGAAAAAAAGGACTAATAAGATGGTGAAATGAAGTAAAAGTCAGACATCTATTTGATAAAGATAACACAGGGATATCTCTTTCTAATCATACGAAAGGAAGTATACAAATTCTACGACATCTTGATATTATCAATTTCATCGACTAAGTAAATGAAATAGAATCAAGTATAGGCACCCTGCTGACTTACGTGTGTATCAGGTTCATGTTTGAACTGAACAATTGATCGGGGATAGACCCAGTCAGTTGATTATTTGACAAATGGCTGTGAACAACGAAAATCACTTCTTGTTAATGGTAAAAGCAGCAATGACGGAGAAACAGAATTCTAAATGCTTTAATAACTCTTGAGAGGGAATCCATACAAGTGTCTAGCATTAAGTAGCATGTCCAAACCCATCGCAGATTTGCTGGCAACTGGAATGGTACCATTAAGCTTGTTATAACTTAGATCCAGCCATGAAAGCTGAGTTAGATTACCAATTGAAGATGGAATTGAGCCACTGAAGCTATTATTATTCAAAGCTCTGTAGAATAAGAAAATAAATATATGTAAAGATTTGTCCTGAGCTAAGCTATTTGACTCATAGCTCAAGATTATACAAAGCCTAAAAGTGCTAATGAGAAACCAGAGAAAACCACAAAACATAATAGGCCGAAAAAAGACAACCAAGACTTGTGAAGTGCATTTCTATTCGCTTTACACCAAGAAAATTGAAGTTAATTCGATATAAAGAGCCAAATTTGAGGGTGTGCTTAACTAATTGCATAACAATAAAAAATATTTGTACAGAAAAGGAAATTCTCAAGAATTGAGATCTTACAAAAATGTCAGTCGATCTAGAGATCCTATTGCATCTGGAATGGGACCATAAAAGCTACAACCAACCAAAATCCTTCATGGAAGTAAAAGCATCAAGTTCAATATTAGTGTTCCACACTTATGCAGCTATTACCAAAGAAAACGATAGAAATTTTCCTTACAAGGTAGTCAGTTTCTTCAACTTCCCAATTGATGCTGGAAGAATCCCTTTAAGTCCAATGTTGTTAGAAAGATCCCTACATTCAGAAACCAACTATCAGGAAATGAAAGGCTAAAGAATTTTATTACTGGCTCAAATTCAAACCACAAGTGTAATCATAGTGACAAGAGTGATGATTGAGATTGGATAAATAAAATTGTTATGTGAAAAATGATTGCATTCATAATTGTTGTATTGTTTCCATTTGTACTTGGATACATAACCTTTAGGTTTTTGTATGATAATAGTTCGGTCACTTAACTAGTGACTTATTCCCCATGGGTCCACGATCTCTGATTTATGTATAAAGATTTTTTTGCAACCAGTAATATAACCTAGAAGGTACTGCTTCCTAACCCAAAAAAGAAGACCCCAAGGCTAGAATTGGCCAAAAACTAAGCTTAAGTTGGCCTGTATGCCAAACTATAGTGGAACCATCTTAGATTTGAATTTTATCTTTTATGTAACATCCAGTTGCAACCAAGACTGCTGTTCATAAGGATTATTGATAAGTCAATTAACTTGTGAAGAGCTAGAGAAGAAACTATTTCCTTGGGACCTAAAAGCCAAAAAGAGAAAGCAAGAACGTACAAAAATTGCAACTCCGTCAATGCTGAAATGTCACTGAAGTCACTACCTTCCACCCCTGTGCCTGCCAACATTCTGCAGTTGAAGCAATTCTATTTGATTCAAAAACAAGGAAAACCAAATGAACTAGGGAATCGTCAGGACAGGGAATTTCCAAGAGTTACATGGAGGTTACGCGTGAATCAGTGCAATTAATCCCTTCCCAACCACAAGGATCTGACTCTTTCCAGTCTGGGGGCCAGTTACTCCAGCTAGATTTGATGGCATTTAGAGCAGCAGCTGCAATAGAGGTAATAAGGTAAAATCTATGCTCAGACCAAGAGAAGATGCTTCCATATACATTAAGGGTGTATTTGAACCCCTTTAATTTTGAAAAATATAATATGAAATAGTAGATTGATGGAGAATGTGTGGTTAAAAAAGAAGAAATTTTTTTTGGTTTGCATGTAGTATTATTTTAATAAAGCATGTGTGGTTGAAAATAAGTACTATAGAAAAATAATGTGATAGAATGTAAAATAATGGATGACAAACAAGGGCTAAATACAATCAGAGCACCTAGAGAACTACAGGAAACTGAAAACAACATTCCAGTCCATAATAATTGGGATACGATAGAAACCTAATTCTGAATATATATTGCAAAGGAGGGTATCCAATAAAAAGGCAACTGCAGACCCAGAATTCAGAAACCCCAATTAGAACTGAAAATATATATATTCTTTAGTCTTGACTGAATTATGATGATTAAAAAAGATTATGATTAGTGTGAAGTGTCTAAAATATGATTTTAGGATGTATTATATTCATATGATAGTTATTTTTGGACAGGGTCCGAGAAATTATATATTCTTCAATAAGAACTTGCCAACAGCTTTCAGAGGGGGACTAGCCTAATCACTTACCCTACGTATACTACGGAAGATGGCTAATACTACACAATATTATGGAAGAAAAATAAGTTAAAATCGTGTTCATCATACTATCTAGTACTGCATACCAAACATGCACTTAAAGCAAAGCATCATTAGAATTAGCCAGCGTTGAATTAAGTCTTGGAAAAGAACGCGTGATTTTTGGTGTATTCCTTATGTTGAGACCCCTAATTCTATGCAACCAAAATAATCATCTAATCAACTAAGAAAATTCTTCATACAGGAGGACAATATCAAGCACGTACGAACATATCCTGTTTGAATGTCCTGACCCCGAAAACATCCAGGAATCCATATTGATCAAATACATTAAACTACAGAATCTTCTTGCACTATAATACAGTGAAACAATTCATGATATATAATCAAAAACTTACTATCATCACTGTCTGCTAGTGCCAGTGTCGCCAGAATTTGAGAGGAAAATAGAAGCAAGCACACAAAAATTCTTGAACCCATTTTCCAAAATACTAATCAGATTCTAAAACTTCTGAGAAACCAAGTTCTTGAATAATGAAAAGAAAGGTTCGGATGATGCCGGCTTTGTGATTTTTGACACTATCTCTTGCCTGCCAGTCATTGAATGAGTCCAAGTTGACCTTTTCTCCATCTATTTCATATTAAACAATGCTTATTTGGTGTTATCATCCAACTTCCCCAACATAGAACCAATCGTATGAAGCTTTCTTGTTTATACCTAATACACGCTTCGCCATATTACTCTACTGTTCTTGTTTTTAACTAACATTAAAATACGGGCTCTAACAGAAAATAATAAACAGAGTGAAATAGAATATTACATCGAGGCACAAATGGGCACAAGCGTGGAATCCATCTGTGATTCTATTGAAAGAGTTTCGGTCCTTGGGAAGTAACCGTTTGTATTCTTTGAAGAAACCTTCTCTGAGACGATTACAATATTAAAATTCTGACCGCTCTATTATTATTATTCAAAGCTCTGTAGAATAAGAAAATAAATATATGTAAAGATTTGTCCTGAGCTAAGCTATTTGACTCATAGCTCAAGATTATACAAAGCCTAAAAGTGCTAATGAGAAACCAGAGAAAACCACAAAACATAATAGGCCGAAAAAAGACAACCAAGACTTGTGAAGTGCATTTCTATTCGCTTTACACCAAGAAAATTGAAGTTAATTCGATATAAAGAGCCAAATTTGAGGGTGTGCTTAACTAATTGCATAACAATAAAAAATATTTGTACAGAAAAGGAAATTCTCAAGAATTGAGATCTTACAAAAATGTCAGTCGATCTAGAGATCCTATTGCATCTGGAATGGGACCATAAAAGCTACAACCAACCAAAATCCTTCATGGAAGTAAAAGCATCAAGTTCAATATTAGTGTTCCACACTTATGCAGCTATTACCAAAGAAAACGATAGAAATTTTCCTTACAAGGTAGTCAGTTTCTTCAACTTCCCAATTGATGCTGGAAGAATCCCTTTAAGTCCAATGTTGTTAGAAAGATCCCTACATTCAGAAACCAACTATCAGGAAATGAAAGGCTAAAGAATTTTATTACTGGCTCAAATTCAAACCACAAGTGTAATCATAGTGACAAGAGTGATGATTGAGATTGGATAAATAAAATTGTTATGTGAAAAATGATTGCATTCATAATTGTTGTATTGTTTCCATTTGTACTTGGATACATAACCTTTAGGTTTTTGTATGATAATAGTTCGGTCACTTAACTAGTGACTTATTCCCCATGGGTCCACGATCTCTGATTTATGTATAAAGATTTTTTTGCAACCAGTAATATAACCTAGAAGGTACTGCTTCCTAACCCAAAAAAGAAGACCCCAAGGCTAGAATTGGCCAAAAACTAAGCTTAAGTTGGCCTGTATGCCAAACTATAGTGGAACCATCTTAGATTTGAATTTTATCTTTTATGTAACATCCAGTTGCAACCAAGACTGCTGTTCATAAGGATTATTGATAAGTCAATTAACTTGTGAAGAGCTAGAGAAGAAACTATTTCCTTGGGACCTAAAAGCCAAAAAGAGAAAGCAAGAACGTACAAAAATTGCAACTCCGTCAATGCTGAAATGTCACTGAAGTCACTACCTTCCACCCCTGTGCCTGCCAACATTCTGCAGTTGAAGCAATTCTATTTGATTCAAAAACAAGGAAAACCAAATGAACTAGGGAATCGTCAGGACAGGGAATTTCCAAGAGTTACATGGAGGTTACGCGTGAATCAGTGCAATTAATCCCTTCCCAACCACAAGGATCTGACTCTTTCCAGTCTGGGGGCCAGTTACTCCAGCTAGATTTGATGGCATTTAGAGCAGCAGCTGCAATAGAGGTAATAAGGTAAAATCTATGCTCAGACCAAGAGAAGATGCTTCCATATACATTAAGGGTGTATTTGAACCCCTTTAATTTTGAAAAATATAATATGAAATAGTAGATTGATGGAGAATGTGTGGTTAAAAAAGAAGAAATTTTTTTTGGTTTGCATGTAGTATTATTTTAATAAAGCATGTGTGGTTGAAAATAAGTACTATAGAAAAATAATGTGATAGAATGTAAAATAATGGATGACAAACAAGGGCTAAATACAATCAGAGCACCTAGAGAACTACAGGAAACTGAAAACAACATTCCAGTCCATAATAATTGGGATACGATAGAAACCTAATTCTGAATATATATTGCAAAGGAGGGTATCCAATAAAAAGGCAACTGCAGACCCAGAATTCAGAAACCCCAATTAGAACTGAAAATATATATATTCTTTAGTCTTGACTGAATTATGATGATTAAAAAAGATTATGATTAGTGTGAAGTGTCTAAAATATGATTTTAGGATGTATTATATTCATATGATAGTTATTTTTGGACAGGGTCCGAGAAATTATATATTCTTCAATAAGAACTTGCCAACAGCTTTCAGAGGGGGACTAGCCTAATCACTTACCCTACGTATACTACGGAAGATGGCTAATACTACACAATATTATGGAAGAAAAATAAGTTAAAATCGTGTTCATCATACTATCTAGTACTGCATACCAAACATGCACTTAAAGCAAAGCATCATTAGAATTAGCCAGCGTTGAATTAAGTCTTGGAAAAGAACGCGTGATTTTTGGTGTATTCCTTATGTTGAGACCCCTAATTCTATGCAACCAAAATAATCATCTAATCAACTAAGAAAATTCTTCATACAGGAGGACAATATCAAGCACGTACGAACATATCCTGTTTGAATGTCCTGACCCCGAAAACATCCAGGAATCCATATTGATCAAATACATTAAACTACAGAATCTTCTTGCACTATAATACAGTGAAACAATTCATGATATATAATCAAAAACTTACTATCATCACTGTCTGCTAGTGCCAGTGTCGCCAGAATTTGAGAGGAAAATAGAAGCAAGCACACAAAAATTCTTGAACCCATTTTCCAAAATACTAATCAGATTCTAAAACTTCTGAGAAACCAAGTTCTTGAATAATGAAAAGAAAGGTTCGGATGATGCCGGCTTTGTGATTTTTGACACTATCTCTTGCCTGCCAGTCATTGAATGAGTCCAAGTTGACCTTTTCTCCATCTATTTCATATTAAACAATGCTTATTTGGTGTTATCATCCAACTTCCCCAACATAGAACCAATCGTATGAAGCTTTCTTGTTTATACCTAATACACGCTTCGCCATATTACTCTACTGTTCTTGTTTTTAACTAACATTAAAATACGGGCTCTAACAGAAAATAATAAACAGAGTGAAATAGAATATTACATCGAGGCACAAATGGGCACAAGCGTGGAATCCATCTGTTATTCTATTGAAAGAGTTTCGGTCCTTGGGAAGTAACCGTTTGTATTCTTTGAAGAAACCTTCTCTGAGACGATTACAATATTAAAATTCTGACCGCTCTATCTAATATACAGGGAAAAGACTCCCTTACTTGAGAGATAGGTCCACACCCAATTAATGCGCGAGCCCCATCCATGTGTGAGGGGCTATGTATCAAGGGGATTATCGAGCCATATCTCCCCTCTCACATGGCAATGTGTATTTTAAAAATTCGATCTATGGTCCTCACATTCTATTGTTAGTAATAAATAAAAATTTTAAGTACATATAGCACTTTTCAATAAATAACCCGCTCTTCTTGCCAAGTAGAATAAACAAAAGACGGACCAGACGGCAAGATAAATACTGAATTTTGTTTATCATTTGTTTTTTTTCGTTGGGAATAAAATCCTGAACACTTGAAAATGAAGACAAAAGTAACCGTTTTGAACCTTGAATAGCTGGAAAATTTGGATCAGTACCCTGAGTTAATTAAAAATATTTATTCACGGTTATTACGCCTTTTAATCCCATTTTTTTAAAATTTATTTTAAATCACACATTTATATAATAAAATAATATGCACATCAATTCAAATTTTTTCCTACTTCTAACTATACATTTTCAAAAAATAATAATAATAAATAAATAAATTTCACTACTCCAAAATCTATTAAACCCAAAAATTAACCAACCAAAATCCTTCATGGAAGTAAAAGCATCAAGTTCAATATTAGTGTTCCACACTTATGCAGCTATTACCAAAGAAAACGATAGAAATTTTCCTTACAAGGTAGTCAGTTTCTTCAACTTCCCAATTGATGCTGGAAGAATCCCTTTAAGTCCAATGTTGTTAGAAAGATCCCTACATTCAGAAACCAACTATCAGGAAATGAAAGGCTAAAGAATTTTATTACTGGCTCAAATTCAAACCACAAGTGTAATCATAGTGACAAGAGTGATGATTGAGATTGGATAAATAAAATTGTTATGTGAAAAATGATTGCATTCATAATTGTTGTATTGTTTCCATTTGTACTTGGATACATAACCTTTAGGTTTTTGTATGATAATAGTTCGGTCACTTAACTAGTGACTTATTCCCCATGGGTCCACGATCTCTGATTTATGTATAAAGATTTTTTTGCAACCAGTAATATAACCTAGAAGGTACTGCTTCCTAACCCAAAAAAGAAGACCCCAAGGCTAGAATTGGCCAAAAACTAAGCTTAAGTTGGCCTGTATGCCAAACTATAGTGGAACCATCTTAGATTTGAATTTTATCTTTTATGTAACATCCAGTTGCAACCAAGACTGCTGTTCATAAGGATTATTGATAAGTCAATTAACTTGTGAAGAGCTAGAGAAGAAACTATTTCCTTGGGACCTAAAAGCCAAAAAGAGAAAGCAAGAACGTACAAAAATTGCAACTCCGTCAATGCTGAAATGTCACTGAAGTCACTACCTTCCACCCCTGTGCCTGCCAACATTCTGCAGTTGAAGCAATTCTATTTGATTCAAAAACAAGGAAAACCAAATGAACTAGGGAATCGTCAGGACAGGGAATTTCCAAGAGTTACATGGAGGTTACGCGTGAATCAGTGCAATTAATCCCTTCCCAACCACAAGGATCTGACTCTTTCCAGTCTGGGGGCCAGTTACTCCAGCTAGATTTGATGGCATTTAGAGCCCCCTGTGCCTGCCAACATTCTGCAGTTGAAGCAATTCTATTTGATTCAAAAACAAGGAAAACCAAATGAACTAGGGAATCGTCAGGACAGGGAATTTCCAAGAGTTACATGGAGGTTACGCGTGAATCAGTGCAATTAATCCCTTCCCAACCACAAGGATCTGACTCTTTCCAGTCTGGGGGCCAGTTACTCCAGCTAGATTTGATGGCATTTAGAGAAGCAGCTGCAATAGAGGTAATAAGGTAAAATCTATGCTCAGACCAAGAGAAGATGCTTCCATATACATTAAGGGTGTATTTGAACCAATTTAATTTTGAAAAATATAATATGAAATAGTAGATTGATGGAGAATGTGTGGCTAAAAAAGAAAGAAATTTTTCTGGTTTGCATGTAATATTATTTTAATAAAGCATGTGTGATTGAAAATAAGTACTGTAGAAAAATAATGTGATAGAATGTAAAATAATGGATGACAAACAAGGGCTAAATACAATAAGAGCACCTAGAGAACTACAGGAAACTGAAAACAACATTCCAGTCCATAATAATTGGGATACGATAGAAACCTAATTCTGAATATATATTGCAAAGGAGGGTATCCAATAAAAAGGCAACCGCAGACCCAGAATTCAGAAACCCCAATTAGAACTGAAAATATATATATTCTTTAGTCTTGACTGAATTATGATGATTAAAAAAGATTATGATTAGTGTGAAGTGTCTAAAATATGATTTTAGGATGTATTATATTCATATGATAGTTATTTTTGGACAGGGTCCGAGAAATTATATATTCTTCAATAAGAACTTGCCAACAGCTTTCAGAGGGGGACTAGCCTAATCACTTAAACAGAGTGAAATAGAATATTACATCGAGGCACAAATGGGCACAAGCGTGGAATCCATCTGTTATTCTATTGAAAGAGTTTCGGTCCTTGGGAAGTAACCGTTTGTATTCTTTGAAGAAACCTTCTCTGAGACGATTACAATATTAAAATTCTGACCGCTCTATCTAATATACAGGGAAAAGACTCCCTTACTTGAGAGATAGGTCCACACCCAATTAATGCGCGAGCCCCATCCATGTGTGAGGGGCTATGTATCAAGGGGATTATCGAGCCATATCTCCCCTCTCACATGGCAATGTGTATTTTAAAAATTCGATCTATGGTCCTCACATTCTATTGTTAGTAATAAATAAAAATTTTAAGTACATATAGCACTTTTCAATAAATAACCCGCTCTTCTTGCCAAGTAGAATAAACAAAAGACGGACCAGACGGCAAGATAAATACTGAATTTTGTTTATCATTTGTTTTTTTTCGTTGGGAATAAAATCCTGAACACTTGAAAATGAAGACAAAAGTAACCGTTTTGAACCTTGAATAGCTGGAAAATTTGGATCAGTACCCTGAGTTAATTAAAAATATTTATTCACGGTTATTACGCCTTTTAATCCCATTTTTTTAAAATTTATTTTAAATCACACATTTATATAATAAAATAATATGCACATCAATTCAAATTTTTTCCTACTTCTAACTATACATTTTCAAAAAATAATAATAATAAATAAATAAATTTCACTACTCCAAAATCTATTAAACCCAAAAATTAGGTAAATGAGGGGTATTTGTTCAAGAAGCCCCTATTTGATGGAGACATAAGAGGAAATGATATTTGGAATAGTGATTTTTTGGAGAATGTGTGGTTAAATTGTAGGAAATTTTTTAAATTTACGTGCAAAATATTTGATTGAATGAATGTATTGTTGAAAATGAGAGTGAAAAATAAAGAATTTTTAAATAATGACCATCCGAAGGGGGCTAAAACTTAACTAATTATCCAATGCTTATTGAACTATTTATTAATTTACCCAATGCTTACCATAGTCAGCCTGTCTGCGCAGCTGTACAGATATTTCCATTTGGCAGATGAAAAAAATAATTTGACAAAGCACATAGTTAATGGAGAACAAATATTTCAATTGGGGATTTTTTTTTTCATTTTGTCTTCTGCAATTGATTTGGATGTAGTCGTTTATTTTAGAATCGAGAAGCCAGAAAATATTTCTGGTAAATGGACTAAAATTTTTAATCAATTCAATGCGCTTTCATCCTTCATGTCCTTCATTAAATCTGGTGTTGCCATGTCAATTTTCAATCAACCAAGTGGAAAATTTGTCTCGCTGTACTGAAAAAATTGGCAATTGTGATCATTGTAAAATAATGAATAGTTCAATGAGTACTGGATAACTATTTAATTTTCGGTGAACAAATAGTAATAATTAGCAAAGTTCAGTAGGCAGCCATTTAATTAACTCGTACGCCCCTTCTCAAGATAAAAAGGAAAACTCTTGCAAATTACAACTTTAAAACAGTTCAAGAATCCCATTATCTAGTACTTGTTTGGGTTTCCCTACTATATAAAAAAAAAAAAAAATGTGGAGTTACTGTAAAAAGTAACAGTGAGTTAATACATTTTGCCTCACTGTAGTATTTTTATTTTTATTTTGTTCAAGTGGATGAACAAAAACGGCGCTGTTTGTCTTAGTATATATTTTATTATACACTACCTCCAAATTGATTATCCCTACTATATTAAAAAAAAAATGTGGAGTTACTGTAAAAAGTAACAGTGAGTTAATACATTTTGTCTCACTGTAGCATTTTTATTTTTATTTTCTTAGATAAAAATTTGTTTCAAGTTTTCTATTTTAAGTTTAAAAAAAAATTATGATTGTAATTAGTTATTACATGTAAAATTTTATTAGCTTTAAAAAAAATTAATTTTTCCCCATGCACGAAGACTTGTAGCAGTCTCCAGCATGGATGGAGACAAGGCCTCCGTGCACGGAGACAATTGTCTCCGTGCATGGAGACTTTGTCTCCTTTTTTATTTATTTAAAATTCAAAACTTATTTTTCCAATTTTAACTAAATAAATAATATATATATATATATATATATATATTTTCATAACTTTCTTTTATTTCATTTTTATTAAATTTTGTTTGAAAATTGTTTTAAACTTTATTTTTCGATTTAAATTTTTTTTATTCTTTTCGTGGGAATTTTTATTTTAATTAAATAATATTTATTTTTAGTTTTAATTATTTCAATTTAATTTCATCTCATTGTAACATTTTAAATTTTTTTCCCCGAGTGGGTGAGCAAAAACGACGCCATTTGTCTTAATATGTATTTTATATATAACACGCAACTTTCCATGCCACCAATCTTATCTCTTCACTCAAAAAATATTATTTCTAAATTTTATTTGAGAATTGTTTTAAATTTTATTTTTTCGATTTAAATTGTTTTATTCTTTTCGTTTTAAACTCGATTTTTTCAATTTTAATTAAATAATATTTATTTTTACTTAAAAATTATTTCAATTTAATTTAAAAACTTTATAATAACTCTTTTTGGTTTCATTTTATATTTGCCTGCCTGCTATATAAATAGTAATAATAAGATAAAGAGAAAAAAAAGTTATATGAATAAATTGTTGTGCTTACTTAGATATTAGCTTAAAAAAAAGAGGGAAAAAATTATATATATAAGCTCTTTGCCTTCTTAGAGATATAAATTTTGTTTCCAATTAACTAGATTGTATTTATACTAATCTTTATTTAATTTTCATAACTTTCTTTTTCATTGTTTTTATTATATATTTTAACAAAAATGTTTCTTCTTCTGTTTTCTCTTTTCATATCTCTTTTTATTTTTATATGTGGAATTTAATGTGTTTTCTTCTTTTTTTTATTACCTATTTTGTTCTTTTTGTTTGTGTATAAATTCATTCGTATTTTTTGTCATGCTTTTATTATTTGTGTATTTTTTCCCATATTTTTGATGAATTTATTGAGATTTGGAAGTTCAAACTTTGAAATTGATGGAATTGGTTTTATGTTAATTGCCGTGGATATATATAATGCATGTCAACATAAAGTGGATTAGCAGAAGCAAAAGTTACAACAAGTTGAAAGGTTTATAAATGTGTCAAACTTTCAGTGTGGTCTTTTTTGTAGACCATAAACATTGGTCTTTCGTTGTTGATTAGTTGGAAAACGCACCTATCACCAATTCGTAGTTATTTTTCCATAACAAAATCAGCCCAACCTATGGTGAGACGTCTTATTACGCCGCTTGATCTTAAATTTGTGGTATTATCGGCAAGTGCTATCGGGCAAAACTTCCTGGTATATATATATATATAATTTTTTTATTAAAAAATAAATGATACAATTTACAATTTTCCGGTGGCTATTAAGACAAGGTGTTAGCATTGTTTCAAATATAGGATTATCTGAAGTGTTTCATTCTTGGCCTTCTTCATCAGAGTAGTATGTAACCTCCAGCCCAGAATTGTCAAATATAATCATGTTTAGTGTGGAATTACCGTTATATTCGAATACTAGAACATAACCATCCTGTAAATTGTGAAGGTCGAAAATTTGTTCCCATCCATCAACTAGGTATATGTTTCCATCGACTCTTTCTAATTTGATGGTGACAATTATGCCATGCAGTTACTTGTATTGTATCACCAAGTTGTTGCCTCCAGTCATTGACAAAAGATATAGGAAGCATCTATATTAAGGGGGTGTTTGGGAGATATTTTTATGTAAAAATGCATTTTTAAAGAGTAAATTGATGAGAAATGTATGATTGAAAAATAAGGAAAAAATTTTTATTTACGTATAATATTATTTTAATAAAAAATGTGTAGTTGAAAAGAAGAGAGAGAAAAATGTATTTTGAAAAAAATGGGTACCAAACGGGACCTAAATATACATATATAAAAATAATAAAAACATAAGTATGTGATAAAACGTATATTAAAATGTCAAAAAAGCACTAACCAGGCGAACACTGTGATTAAGGAAAGGGGTGATGATTCTGAAGAAATTACGTGAGACATCCATTTTATGAGAACTTTATTGTTTGTTATGTGGAATATTTGACGTATGGATGAGTTGAATGGAAAAAAAAAATATATTGTGAAAAATGGAGGTATTTAAGCTAAAAAAAAGTGTACTTTACCTTTTTGAATTCGATTTGACAAGAGATTCACTGGTGTTATAATAGACAAATTTTTATTGAAAAGACTGTTTTTTTATTATTCCCAAAAATTTTTTTTTTTTTAAAAATGAGGCCGGAGGCTTAAGTTCTTTTTCCTTTTTTCCTTTTAACATGTTTTTGGAAATAATAAAAGGACAGAGGTTTAAAAGTAGCAAGCAAAACCAACTTGAGTTTTTAACGAAGCAATACTTCCCACTAATCAATTATGAATTTCAGAGAACATAGTACAAAAACAAGAACCTGGTTATCAAATCCATGCATAAACCTCATCTAATCAAATAAAATTAAAAACATCTATCTCAAATTAACTAATCTCGTCAAAAAAATTTAGATAATTTCTTGCTAATATATACATATTATATAACGTGAAAAAACACATAATCTAACTCTTCCTCCCAAATTTTGTTTAGATTTTCTTCTATTATATTTGTTTTTATTCATTAGGCATGTTTGTTTAAATAAATAATTGGAAATATGATGTCTATATGTACACTTTGATAGATATTTGAAGCATGGTGGCCTACTTATGCATAACTATGGATAGTCTATATTTCTCGAAGTTAGCATAATAATAATTTTTTTTTATTTTCCTTGTCGATATAGTATATTTTATTATAATTTTTCTGTTTTAAGTTTTGTAGTTGACTTGCTTACTGTCTTAACTTGCTTGCTTTTATAGTCATAATGGGTAGATGGACACCTACATTTCTCCAACTCCAAGTTCTTGAATCTATATTTCATCAAGGCAACACAACTCCAAACAAATTGAAAATCGTACAGATAGTCTCTCAGTTGTCATTATATGGCCAAATTTGTGATAAGAATGTTTATAATTGGTTTGAAAATAAACGTGCTCATTCAAGAACATCATCCACACAAACACAAAATTCTCAACTTCAGCCAATGGTAAAAGGAAGACAAATTGCGCAAAAGGGTTTTAGGTATGATTATTTGTTGAAATATG